AGGCATTCAGCTGCTAACCAGAAGGCTGGCGGTTCAAACACACCAGCCACTCCCTGGAAGGAAGGTTGGGCAATCTACTTCCGAAGTGATACCTCCTTGGGAACCCAAGGAGGGGTCGCTATGAGTCGGATCTGACTCCACGGCAATGCTCACAGAGATAAAGAAAAAGAGTTGTGCTGGTGCAATTGTTAAGCACGTGGTTGCTAACAGAAAATTTGGTGGTTCAAACTCACCAGACACTCTGTGGAAGAAGAGATGGGACAGTCTTCCATAAAGATTACAGCATTGAAAACTCTATGTGACAGTTCTACTTTGTCCTATGGGGTTGCTATAAGTCAGGACTGACTCTATGGCAAGTGGGTTTTTGGTTTTAGAGATAAAAGAAAATGATTCCAACCTAGACATCCTTGTAAAAGAATGTTAGACCTCATAAAGACAGAGCTGACCAGACACTGCTGGGAGTGCTGCGTTCGATGCTGCTCGAGGATTCTCTTCTGGTCTTTAGCTGTCCGGGCTCGTCTTATGGAAGCAGACTGCTGTATCTTTCTCCGGGGGAGCGCATGGTGGGTTTGATGCCGCCTTTTGGTTGACAGCTGAGTGCTTGAGCACTGCACCAAGGCTCCTTCCATTAAGATTACAGCCTAGGAAACCCTCTGGGGCAGTTCTACTTCGTCCTGTAGGATTGCTATAGTCGGAATCAGTTCCATGGCACACTATAACAACAACAACAGCAGTCCCCATTAGCAGCTGAAGGAATCCAAATGTATATACGCAGCCATTTAGCCTTTTACCGGACAGCCGTTTCCATTGAGTCAATTCCGACTCATGAAAACTGCATGCGTGTCAGAGTGTAACTGCTCCATAGAGTTTTCAAAAGCAGATTGCCAGGTCTTTCTCCCCAGATGCATCTGGCCGCACTTGAGACACTAACCTTTCGGTTAGCAGCTGAGCAGGTCAACCTTTTGAACCACCTGGTGACTTTGACTTCTTTACCTTACACCCCCAATTCACACTTCCCTTGAAAGTTGAAGTGAGAACCTCAGCTTTGTTGAGGAACTCATGGCTGCTCTGAGGCCAGCATGCCGCAGATAGGTGCCAACTCACAGCCCTGATTCTCTGAGAGTCTCAGCACTTACACGAATTCCCCCCACATACTCTAAAATCCGGGTGATTGGGCCTGGCGGACACAACGCCACTTTTTATGGTAAATACAGAAAATGACAAATGCATAAACCAACAAGCAGGTTGTACTCATTAGAATCGATAGAGCAGAAGTCCGTACGCAAGATCTGCTTTTGCTTATTGTTGATTCAACATTTCCATTACAAGGTAATGCTGCATCTGTCAAAATCAATTATCTAGGATTTTCTTTCTTTCTTTCTTTTTTTTTTTTTTTGACAAATACAATGCTGTTGTCATTGGTGCATTAAATTCAGAAAGCAGGAATGTTACGGCTCTTGGAAATTAAGTGTGCATTTTACATTTGATATGAAGCCTACGACTCAAGTAAGAAGGGGGCGGCTTGCATTCTGTACATTCAGCACACCCCTACGAAACAACTGTGAAATTGGCTTAGGCCAGCACACCATACTCCACAGGCACCTCATGCTTGTTTGTGATAAAACACCAGAGTTGCAAAGATGCAATTTTGACATATCATCAAATAATGCAAATAGGAAAAAGTGGGAAACATGAGGGAGAGGACAGTTTGGGCCACACAGAATTGCAGGTGGATTGTTGTCATTGTTGTTAGGTGCTGTTGACTTGGCTCTGACTCATGTTGCTGAGTAGTGACCCCGTGTACAACAGAATGAAATACTGCCTGGTCCTGTGCCAGCCTCACAATCATTGCTATGCTTGAGTGCACCATTGCAGCCGCCTTGTCAGTCCATCTTGCTAAGGGTCTTCCCCTTTTTGCTGACCCTCCACTTTAACAACCACGATACCCTTCTCCAGGGAATGGTCCCTTCTGACAGCATGACCAAAGTAGGTGAGACGAAGTCTGGCCATTCTCACTTCCAAGGAGCCTTCCGGCTGCACTTCTTCCAGGACCGATCTGTTCATTCTTCTGGCAGTCCATGGTACTTTCAGTATTCTTTGCCAACACCACAACTCAAAAGCATCAACTCTTCTTTGGTCTTCCTTATTCATTGTCCAGCTTTCACAAGCTTATGAGGTGATTAAAAATACTATGGCTTGGGTCAGGCACATCTTAGTCTTCAAAGTGTCTTTGCTATTCAACACTTTAGAGTTCCCTTTGCAGTAGATTTGCCTAGTGCAATACGACATGTGGAGGTGGATTAGATTTTTAAATTACACTGAGGGGTAGGAGTTGTAGTGTGGTAAACAATTGTAGATGAGAATGGAGGGGGTGAACCTTGAGAGCTTTTCTTAAGCTTTTCTTTGTAGGCTTCTCACAAAATATTTAGTGAGTGTGGAATTCCGTATTTGCAGACTCTCTTAAAATACCAGCCCATGAACATTCCTGAAAACAGCCTACGTTTAGTATTGTGACTTTGCAGATTTCACTGAAGGAGGAACTTGACAAGGTAATGGCTTACAAAAGAGTGGCAACCCTTGACTTAGTTCTTTAATGATGTTGTAACAGAAATACCACAAGTGGGTGGCTTTACAGAACCGGATTTTATTTTCTCATACTTCAGGAGGCTACAAGTCCAAATCAGGGAATGGCTGCAGGGGGAGGTCCTTCCTTGTCTATTTCAACTTCTAGAAGTTGACAGCAATCTTTGGCATTCCTGGGCCTGCAGATGCATCTGCTGTTGTGTGTGTCTGTCTTCCCATGGTATCTATCTTGTGTCTATTCAGGTTTTTTGCTTTGTTTTGTTTTTAATAACAACTAGGAAGTGGTTAGGTTTAGGACTCACCCTACACTAGTATGACTCCATCAACATAGCAAAAGAAAACCCATATTCCAAACAGGGGCCCGACTTCATACATATTTGGTGGGGAAAACACAATTCAATCCATAACAATGCTTGTGTGTCCCTCTTCATTGTTTGGAAGTTGTGAGGTCACTAGAAAGGCCTCACGTGTGATCTAGATCTCTCTTCTACAGAAAATGCACTTGTGTCATTGCCATCATGCACTCACTCCATGGCCGTCCTCGACTTGGCTTTTCCAAATTGAGAAGGCCAGTTTATTGGAAATGTCAAAAACACATGTTCCTGCCATTTTCTCTGGTGGTAAGGACTGTAAATATTTGTAACGCAGAATGGAAGAATGGGCAGAGCAGCAGCAAGCTTTTGTCCAATGCCTTTTGCCTGAAGGTTCCCCTAAGCTGGCAGATCAGCTAGGTTCTAAATGGGTTCATCTGCAGGCCCCCTTGTCCCTGAATTCATGATCTGGGGCTCTCAGTCTCACATCGAAGTTACAAAAGGAAGGTTAAACCTGCCCTAAGACAATACTTAGTCCAAGAGAAGGAAAGCCAATTTGTTTGTTGACCACTGTTTGTGAGTGGGAAGTAGAAAGGGGAGCGATGGGGTGAAAGCAATTTCACAAAGCTCAGAATCTCTTTACTGAAGAGGTGAGGCGATCCAACCTGTTTGGAAACACTATGCCTGTCTTTGCTTCTTTCCTTCTTTCCAAAGACCAGAGAGGAAACAGGGAGCAGGCTTGCAATTGGCAAAACCATTCCAGTTCTTTTTGCTCCCTCCCATTAGGCTGCAAACTAGGCTCTAAGCCATCCCTACCTGGTAGAGCTCAGTGGCAGTGCACTGAGTGGTCAAGGTCTTCACAGGTTCAAGGTCATCTTCATCACTGCTCAGCTTCAGGTCATCCTCAAGCATCCTACAAAAAAATCAGAGTGGCATTCAAGTTAGAAAGTGTTTTTTCTAAACACTCCTCAGATCCATCTTGCAATGAGAATAAATATTGGAGCTATAATCTGACAGCTAAATTTCTGTCAAAGGTGCAGAAGGAACCAAGATTCTCTCAACTAATTAGATATTTGAGCGCTTATATTTATGTTGTACTCCACACACATCTTTCCCTCTCCACCTTCCCCTAAATCAAGGGGAGGAAAGGGCTATATCAGCATCTCGACCAATGCCTGGAGTCTATATATTTTTACTACTAAAAGTGCAATCAATGAACAGATCAATCACTGTGTAGGTGGGAAGTGGTATTGGATCTCTCCCGAACAAGATACTCTAAGCCTCACAGGAGAGAGCAAGGGCCCGAGCCCACCCCAGGCTCTAGAGGTTGTTGGCAAAGTCTGCTGCAGCTCTCTGCATGACAGAGGCTCAGGTCCAGTGACCGGCCACTGCCTTTCAGTGCCCTCTGCTACTGGCAACTCAGTGGCCACAAAATATCTGGGTGAGAAATGGCCATTATCTTCTTGATATATGACCTATCTCTTCCCGTAAAATTCGATCCAAGCGACGCAAGCCCATGATGTGGATAAGAAATCTCTCTCTAAGCCGAGGTAACTGAGAAATATGACTGGTCTGAGTTTTGGTGATGAACTGGCACTTTCCAAATTGTTTATTGAGCAGACGGAGCCTTCTGTTTCTCCATGGATAGTAATTCTAGTGCTACCATTTCTCTCTCCAAGTTTGAGCTGCAGCAGAAGAGTGACCCGTTAACTCACAATTCCAGTTATACAGCTTCAAAGACCAAATGGTGTTTCTATTTCTATGAATCAAGTACAACGTTAGACCTCTTCCCCTGGCTCCAAATGGGGGCATTCTCAAGAGCTCTAGTGGCACAGTGGTTAAGCGATCGACTGCTAACCCAAAGGTCAGTAGTTCAAACCCACCAACCATTCTGTGAGAGAAAGATGTGGCAGCCTGCTTCTGTAAAGATGACAGCCTTGGAAATCTTATGGGGCTTTTTAAGTCACTCTGGTGGCATAGTGGCTAAAGACTCAGCCAAAACCAAAAGGCCAACAGTTCGAACCCACCAGTGGTTCTACAAGGGAAAGATGTGGCAGTCTGCTTCCATGAAGATTTACAGCCTTGGAGACCCTATGGGGCAGTGCAGTTCTACTTTGTCCTATAGGGTCACTATGAGTAGGAATCACTCTTTGGCAGTGGATTTTTTTTTTTTTTAATCCTCTCTGGACCAACTGCTATTTCCCCAGCATGCTGTGCTGTCTCTTACTTCTAGTGTCAGTCTCAGACTTCTTTGGTCCCAGGCTAGAATTCCCTCCCCCACCTCTGGAAATCCTATTTTTCCTCCACAGCTCGGTCAGATACCGCCTCCTCCATAAAAGCTTTGTGGAACCCCCGCCTCAGAAAGAATCCTTTTTGGCTCCGTCCCATTCCCCTCCTCTCCCCAGCTCCTTGTATATGGTTGGATCAGCACTGCTTCCTACAGAGGGGACTTTTCTATAGGTCTCTCTCCTCCACCAGTCCCTAATTTCCATGTGGGCAGAGGTTGCAACTTTTTCACTTCTGTGTTCTTCACAGCAGCCTCCTAGAGATGATATAGTCTATTATCCTCATTTTTCAGACAGGGAAAGAAAGGTTCAGAGAGGTGAAGTGCTTTGCTTGAGATCACACAGCTAGTGAGTGCCAGAGCCAGTCTTCAAGTTGCCATTGTGTCGTGCCTCTTCCCCAGGAAAGGAAGATGGGGAGGGAAGAGGCAGCTTCTGATTGGATAAATAGGGGACAACATTATGCTGTATTCCAATGTCAGGAAGAGATTGAGGTCAGGATGCTTATCCAATAATTCTCCTCACTTTGATGCTCAGCTACAGAAGACCAGATGTGTTCACTGAAGTCTGAAAAGCCAAGCCTGATATGAAGCATGACTGGCGGGGAGGACACAACTGTTGGAGCTGGTTTCAGAGAAATGAAATTTGAAGGATTTATGACTGTCCTTCAGGAGATGAATGGCTGTTTAGAAGATCTTCGAGAAGGAGAGAAAAATGTACCTTGGCATTTCTTTTGCAGTTGCAGGCTTATGACTCTGAACACATAATTCTTTATAACATGTTGTAGTCATTGAAGACTGTCATTCTTGTGAGCTATCGAGCTCAAAGATTTGCTTGTTATGAAGAGGCTTCATTTGCCATATGCATATTGCGATTTGTATGTAGGAAATGTCTATGTATTAACTGACATGTAAGTGTTCAGCATTTAGAGGGCTCATTCTCTGTGTCAGGGAAGGTGCTGGGTATTGGACCAGCAGCATGCAATTTGGTTCTCACAATGACCCTCCGAAGGAGGTGTGACTACTACTTCTCTTTTGTAGACAGAACCCTGAGGCTTAGAGAGGTTATGGAACTTGCTCATGGTCACATCACTAGGGAAGGATGGAGGCAAACTTGGAACCCAGACCACTGGTTCCAGCTAGAACTCGAGAGTTTATAGCATTTTCCAAGAAGGTACAACTTATAAAAGATGGTGTAAGAAAATCAAGAGCAACAACTCTAAAACCAAAACCAAACACAGCATATTAAAATGGAGTCAAAAGAAGTGGATTCAACTCATTATAAACTCTGCTATTTGGGGTAAATCAATGGCCCTCTCTAAGATTCATCTGTGTCTTTATCTGTTAAATGGGATGGTAATTAAGGTCCCTCACAGAGTGCTATGGTCCCTGGGTGGCACAAATGGTTAAGTGCTCGGCCACCAACCAAAAGGTTGGAGGTCTAAGTCCGCCCAGAGGTGCCTTTGCAGACAGGTGTGGTGATCTATTTCTGAAAATTCAGCCAATCATTGAAAACCCTACGAAGCACAGTTCTGCTCGGACACACATGGAGTCATCCTGAGTCAGAGTTGATAACAGCAGCAAATGGTTGTTGCTGTCGTGGTTTGTTTGTTTTTAACAGAGTGGCGGTGGTGGTGGTGAGGATAACAGGAGTTGATGACTAGCATTGCGCTTTATGAAAGCACTACCTTCCTGCAAGACAGCATTATTGGTATTGGAAGTGTATCGTCCTGATCAGAAATAATGTAGGCCGTTAGTATTAATAACAAGTAATCGCAAGTGCAAGTCATGGTAAGCCTGTGCTGCTCTCATCTTCATTTGCTGAACACTCTAGAGGTAAGCCAAGATGGCTTGAAAAGCCTCTTGCCACATCTTAAGGCAAAGGAAGCACAGCTGGATCTGAAAACGGACTCATAGTCTTCCAGCTTCTCTCCTTTTAGTAGAACCAGTGAATCCAAAGCCAGAGCACGGGAGTCCAGCACCCAGCAGTCATTCTACTATCCAGTCAATTCCATATGATTTCAACATGGAAATAAAATGCCCTCCAATGGACAGTACTAGAAATGGGCCATCAACCTACATAGCAACTGACATTCAACATCCCCATGCAACAAGCTTGGTATGGATTTGGTTGTTAATAAAAGACGACTTGAGGCATATGTGCAAGGTCTGGTAAACAAAAGTCAAGGAAGTAACTAAGAAGGCAAACCACCATTAGTTACCTCTGGAGGTGTTAGGCATTCATTTCATTCCACTGCTTCCCTGACCTATTAAGCTTTATTATTGAATATACATGTACTTGCTTGCGTTTTCATCCATAGCTAATGTTGAACATTACTCTAGGGAGGGCATAGGATTATGAAAGATTTTGGATTTAATTATTATAGCAGTCCCATTTACATCCACTGCAGTTAAGTTTGTCTCAGCAGAAAAATGCTAATCTCCTTTCATGAGGTTATAATTCCATAGATAAATTCATCTGGATATCCCCAAATATGAAAAAACCATGCTCATATGAATGTATGGCTATGTGTGTTATCTTAAAAAAAACAAAAGAAAAAACAATGAACCCTTGTTCTTCATTAAATGGAAACAGAACAAAGACGTAGACCTGCTTAGTGGTTTCAGATGTTTGTTCGGGGTCTAATAGCTCACGGTGTATAACAACCCCATTTTTATGTTTGTGTCTTACACTGTCTATAGAATTAAGAACAGTCCACAACACTGCATTGAAAACCAAATCCTTGCTCTGAGGAGACAATCCATAAAAGCTCAAATGAGGCAAGTGGGGACGGATGAGATGGAATGAACAAGAAGAGGATTGAGGAGGCGATGTGGAGTGGAGGGAGAGGTGTACCCAGAATCATCTCTTTCCCTAACTCTCTGGGCCTCAAGCTGAAACTGGGGCCTCAGAGGGCTCTTCTCATTGGGACATTCCATGACACTGTGAAATCATAAGACTACCCATCTGCCAGTTTGTCATATTACAGTGGCTTGTGTGTTGTGTGATGCTGGAAGCTATACCATTGGTATTTCAAACACCATCACGATGGACAGGTTACAGCAGGGCTCATCCGATATGGTTCTGGAACACGAGGCCCCTAGTTTGGAAGGCACTTGAAATACACAGTGGTCACAACAAAGGAGTCAAACGCATCAACGATTGTGAAGATGGCGCAAGACTGGGCAATGGCTTGTTTTGTTGTACATGGGCTCACCATGAGTCAGAGCTGACTCATCAACAACTAACAGCAACACTCCATCAGCCTTGCCATTTGACACAGTGGAATGCTTAGGGGATTTCGCACAGGAAAGAAAGAGGATTTAACATACTGTTAAAGAAGCTTCTGCGGAAACGAAGGCTTTTGTGGAGGTAGATGGGCTTGAGAGCCAGACAGATCTGAGTTCAAGCACAGGATTTTCTAATGGGCTTTGTTCTTTAGTCCAGTGGAGCAATCCACAGCAATCCCCAACATAGGGCCATAGAGCCTCTGTGTGATGGGGAGCAGGGGACACCCTTCTATTGTTTGACAACCTTAATTGTTAGAAAGCTTGAACTGCTAGGAGTCGCTGTGCACCTTCCTGTAGACTCTACCTGGTGGCCTGAGTCTTGTTCTCATAGTGCACACTGG